GAAACCTTCACTCTAATACAATATTTGTGTGTGTTGCTAGACCACTTCGTAACAGGATTTGTTCTTTCATGGTTACAGAAAACGTTTACTACTTAGATCTTCTGGCAAATAGATTTCTAATATATATTTCATAATTCATAATTTGTATGGTTTGTATTTCAAGTTTTCTTTTTTCTTATTTTTTTTAATGTTACAAATTTTATATTCTTCATTTTACCTTAGTAAATATTTAATCTTTTCAATATATATTTTTTCTCATTTCTCAAAACATAGTCAGAATTCCACTCTGTGAAAATAACTGTTTTTGCTTTTTAAACTATGTTACAGAAAACCAACCAGAACTAATTTTTTAAATTACAGACCATCACTTCCTTGTCTTTTCTATTCCATTTCCCAGTATTACAAAGACTGTGGATTGTCTGACATCCTTCCAGTCCTATGACCCACCTCTTTTTCCAAGCAACTTTGTCCCCTTCCCCCATGCCTGCAGGCTTTTTCTTCTTCATTAACATATTCGAACTTAATCTCTTCCATCTGGCAGCCCATCCTTTGAGCTGCAGTCTGAGGATCTTTTATGGACATGTGCACTGCTACTCTCTTCTGTTTGCATTTGCCTCTAGTTGCTGTAGCTGTAGGTGACATACAGCAAACTGCATTTGTATTTGAACAGGGACTGGCTTTTGCAGCTGTGGAGCTGGTGTCCTGGACACTGCCTGCCCATAGGGTGGACAAAGGTTTGCTGTTCAGGACAGCTAATATTCATAAATAAAAGAAAAAAAAACCCTTCCCAAATATTTCTTTGGATATGTGGCTGAAGGTAGTAATTAGAAAATGTTTTCAAAAGTTGTCTTTAAAAATTTGAAACCTTAGGGATATTGTGAAAAAGCAGGGACAACTTTGCTGTTCAGGCTGGCGTGATATTCCTCTCAATTGTTTTGGTGGCAGAGAGCTACACCATTTCTCCTCTAAGAGGGTAACAGATTGGGCTATCTGAAATACTTTACACCTCAATAATCTTTGTCCCCAAATATACAGAAGGTGTGTTTGGTATGGCAGCAGAGAATATTATACAGAATTCTGGGCAGTTCTGAGTTTTAAAGCAACCTTCCCTTGGGAGACTTCAAAGCTGTTTGCTCTAACTTATTGAAGTCCACATTGGCTATCTGGGGTAGCATAAAACCACTTTACCTTTCCATTCAGTGCAGGCCTTTAACAGGACAAAATACTTTTTAAAGTAGGAGAATGTACACAGCAAGCTCCTAAGTAAGCACCAGTGATGACAGTGAAATAGAATTTGTAATCTTTCAATTCCTTTCAAAATCTTTCAATAAGTAAAATAGGACTTGTTCCAATAAAACATGTACGTCTGTGTCTGTGTAAACTGTGAAGTATTGCACATCTGAAATTTGGGATCAAGTTTGCAACATGCACAACACTCAAAATAAAATTTTTCATTGTCAATAACCTTATAATATCACCAGTTTCATACCAGCCCTCACTGTGGTAAGGATGATGAAGTTTTAAATTGGATTATTTTACAGTTTGTAAGGAAATTACCTTGACAGTTAAACTCATGGTGTGAACTTCATTAGGTCATGTGCTTCAGGGTGCACTTCAAATAACTCTTCAGTTAAAATTATATGCATATATTTCTTTTTTGAAGTATGTAAGAGTATGGCATGAATGATGCCATAAACTTTCAGTTCTTAAAAAGAAATTCATTACAGTATGCTTAATATGCACTTTTTCATTCAAACAAATCTGATTCAAAATGTCACTTAATTATTGTAAGATATGAGGGAATGAGAAATTACATGTAATCTAGTTGGCTGTGGAAATAAGGATTATTAATAATGTACATTATTTTTAAAAAGTAAAGTTTATTGAAATATTGTACTTATTGCAGTAATAATTTACTGAAATGACTTGATTTAGTCAAGTCACTTCTAGGAAAAAAGGATTGTAGCAGAAAGAGATGTGGACAATTTGCAGGCATGCTCTCTTCTAGGGCTGACTTGTGCCAGTTAGAAAGTGTAGTTCCTTATTTACAGCCGTCATTAAGAGCTACGTAACAGGTACCTAAATTCCTGAAAAATCTTAAAGCCTGAATAATCTCCACAGGATTAGAATGCAAGTATTTCTAAAGTACTGTAATCTAGAAGCTAGACAACTTAATACTGATTCAGTCCATAGCTCTGGACTTTTAAAGCAGGAAAATTCTTTGTGTTAGGCTGGAGCTTGTAGCCACAGTATTCTACTTCCTAGTGTCTTCAATCTAATAAAAAATGTAATAATATAACTTTATAGAAACATCCCACAAATGTATCTGTCTGTAGTGAAAGTGATGAAACTTGGCTTTTCAGGCACCTGCTTTCTTGCTAACAATAGGATTGGAGAAAATGCCTTATTTGCTATTTAACTCGAAGAGTCAAGGGTAAACTGAGAGTAACTGGTTAAGATTCAGAAGTCTTCGTGTTTTAAAAAGCCATATTGTGATTACAAATAAGGTTTGTGTTCTATAATTTAAAAATAAAAATTTTTTAAAAAATGCACCTTTATTATGTGTATCAACCTTCAATCCCTGATGAACTTGTAACCCTTTTTTGGATCCCCAAAATAGACTTTATCCTTGGGCAATTTCATCACATTTTACTTACCAGTTCATTAAAATAGTGACTTTAAAATCTGGTTTACTTTCTGCTGGTAATATACAGTATTCTTCAGATTGATTAATGAAATAAATGGACTATTAGATTAATGGATTAATGAATTATCAGAAAAAATATATTTTTAGTGTATAAATATATCTTAATTTCATAAAAAAAAATTTAATTCCTGCATAATAATGCCATTCTAATCAACTTAACAGTTAGTATTTTAACATCTGTTTCATCATGACTTACTCTTAGATAGAAGTAAAAATAGAAAGTTTCTTTCTTTTCAGCAAAATCACTATGATTAACAGGCTTTGGAATTATCTTTGATATAATTTTACAACTAGAATTAAGACTAGTCTTGAGCAAGGAGTCTTTAAGTTTTGTCTTTTAAACATGGGGCAGTTGTCTGCCCATTTTTGCATTCATATCACATAAGGGTCAAGGGGATTTAGCAACCACAATAAAATTATTCAGTGCTCAGAGTGTAGGAGGAGAAATGACAGACTGATACTTCAAGTTAACGCGACATCTATGAGCAAAAAGTGTATCATAGTACAAAACCAGTGTAGGCTATTTTACTTAACAAAAGATAATTGCACTCAAGATAGCAAGCTATTTCTGTCTCATACCATGCAGGTCAGGCCATTAACGCTGCATCTTCTCTCTGTCAGATCTCAGTCACTGCCTCACCTTTACTCAAGATGCTCTGAACTGCTGTGAGGAGGCATCTCCCATTGAACTCCTGAAGTTTCCTTCTCACTGCCTGTAGATAAATAAAATGCCTTTTCTGCAAGACAGCAGTGAGGACCTTCCTGTAGACTGGAGTACATAGTGGAAATTTCATTCAGAATGCAAAAAAATCCCATTGACTAAAAATGATGGTGTACTGCTTCTGAAAATTTGCAAGTATACAGCTACACGCACCCCCCTTGGTGCTCTGCTCTCCAGAACCTCCAGGTCTCATGACAGCAGTTAGCAAAGTTGGACAAGAGCTCACGCATGCATGAAAAAAAGTAGTTAAGTGGACTATAAAAAATGAAAAGATCTACTCTACATTAGCGTATTTCTAATTTACTCTGGAAATGGTTACCATTGCATAGCTTCTCAAAGTGAAAGCAGTATAGGAAACAGTGTGTGAGCTAACACCTAGGAAAATCCAGCAGAAATGTAGCCCATACTCATGAGTTGAAAACCTTTTTTTTTTTTTCTTTTTTAAATTATTTTTTTTCTCTGCCTATTGCCCATGCATCTCCAGGAGTTTGCAGGTAGATTGAAAATGACTGGTTTAATGCAGTGGTTCCCTAGTTATGGTCTGCAAGGTCATGATCTGTAGTATCATTTTCAGTGTGTAGTGTGTTCAGTTAGGAGTCTGATGATAAGGATGCATCCAGAAACATTTGGGGTATTTGATAGTGATCCAAAAAGTTTTTAAATGTTGGTTTAAAACACAGCTTTGCCCAAATATCCCATAGTATACTTATAAAACTGATTTGGGAGATGTTTGTCTTGAAAAGGTCAGGAAGTTGTCTGAGAGTAGAGCTGCTCATTTCTTTAGGTAGGATTATATATGTGTATATTTTTATTTGAATATAGGCTAACATTTAGCTTATATCATTCTATGAAGCTTTAATATTGGTTTTGGATGTAAAAAGGAAATGTAAGGCAAAGAAGGCCATGGTTGTTAATGGCTTGTATTAGCTGGAAGCTATAAAATCATCCTGGTACTCTGTTAGTGCTGGAATAATAATTTACCAAGACAATTACCACATGGTAAAATTTTTTTTCTGCTCTAATTCAGTGTTATTAATAATGAATAAAATTGCAATTTTCTCAGGTTGCTAGGGGCAGTGGGGAATCATTTCAATGAATATTTCAGCACATTAGTTTAATCATAGTTCCACAAAATTCAAGTGGGCAATATTTTATACTTCTAAATTCAGTCTGCTAAGGGACCTTAGTCATTAAATTGCAAACTATTTGCACTGAGGTCCACTCTATGATTTACAAGCCTTGTTAAAAACACTGTAAAAGAAAGCAAGCTGTGCCATTAATACTTGTAATTTGATGCTGCATTTGTTAATGGGCTCAGTGTGATTAATGTTTTTAGCAGCAGGCAGAACATTTTGAGACAGGCAGTGCTGAGGTTTATAGTAAATGCATGTAAAGAAATGTTAGAATATTGTTTTATAGAATATAAATATAATAAATATAAGTTTTAGTAGTATTTGTTTTTATAAGGTTGCATTCCAGAAATAGAAAAGCACTAGTGAAGTTATACCATAATGTATGTAAATACATTTCAAGCTGTGGAAGGTGCTGATGTGTGTGTTCCTTATTTCGTAGCCAACTGCATGACTTCTGGCGCTTGGATTACTGGGAAGATGATCTGCGCCGGCGGAGGCGATTTGTTCGCAATGCTTTTGGGTCTACTCATTCTGATGCTCTTCTAAAAGCTGCTGTGGAATATGGTCAGTATTAACTCTGCTTAAAAATATGTCTCGTGATCTTTTGCTTTGTGCCCATGAATCCATGTGTGCCTTCTTGTCTAAGCACGGTGCTGAAAATTCCTAGGACAACATGTTCTTAGGAAAGTAATTATTTTCAATCCTTAATACTTTAATGAACCAGAAGACTTGAGCTTGCAGGCTGTTAAATTCTCTTATCCCCAAGGGATTCACGTTATACCTCTCTAGCATTCCTAGATGCTGAGTTTGAGATGCTGGTTGAAGTGAACTAGTCTCTCTGGAGTGACAAAACAAAACTGTTAGGCCATCAAACTAATATGCTGTAATAGTTCCATTGGAGACCTTTCATGAATGAGAAATCAACTGATTTTTAAAAAGACCTGAAGTTTTATCCTGGTATGTGTGATGTCAGCCAAACTATTTTTCCTGCAAATCATGAAATACATAAGAACTTATTAAAAATAATTATTTAAAGGATGCTTGTGATTTGAATAGTGAAGTGACTACATAGAAGCTTCAGGAACCTGAAGATTAGATGATGATTGATTTTCATGGAGAGGTAGCTGGAATCTAAGAGGAAGGAGGAAAGTGCTTGCAAATTCCCTTATATAATCTAAAAGTTTCATATGTTTAGTGACTGCTGCTGTCACCAGAAGTTCTGAATACAGTAGATACGGAGCTAACTGTGTGACCTACATATTTCACCAACTTCACAGGTTGTTGAGGCAAATAGCAGGGATTCAATCAAGGTTAGGCATAGAAATGAATATCGGAGTGTGCACTTACACTAGTTAGTGTAATTTAATACTTACTTAAATGTGAAGGCTATCATGTGCAGGACTTAAGGTCATACACTGTTCATGAGTTGGTTAAAGGAAGGTGTTTCCCCCGGTACTATATAGTATTGCATGTTTGACAAAGGGTTATTTTCTCCACATTCTTCCAAACATCAAAATAGAGATCTTATGAGAGGCAGATGCAAAACTGTGCTAATTGCTGTGTTGCTTTTGTAAGGCAAATAATCATCAAAACCACAGGCTTTGTGCAGTATTCAGACATAGGAACCTTTTAAAATATTCTTATTGATTAATAGGTTTAATTTTGGATATTATAAACTAAAACAGGAAGAACTATTATTTACAAACTATTACAGTTTTAAGCCTTGATATTATCCTGTTTTTAAAGTAACAGGAGCTTTTTTTTTTGATAAGATGGTACTCAGAGGATGCTGGAAATGGTTTTGGGGCATTTTTTTTATGTGATCTGTAACACAAGTTGCACTTAAACAGTTTCAGTATGTCGCAAAGATTGCTTCCATTTCTGTAGTTTCTGTGTTGAAGTATTTTTGTGCAAATGACAGCTGCCTGGTAGTAGAGCTAGCCTGCAAGGCAAAGCTACAATCAAAATAAACAGACAAACTGCAGTAGTTATAGTTTCATATTGGATTACTTCAGTATAATTTCATGCTACCACCTGTTATTTCATTTAACATACAGGAAAATTAAAGCTCAGGTGTTTTTAGAAGTGGTATGCATCAAACTCAGTGGTTGCATAGAAAGTACAGTGGACTGAAGTTGTCCTGTTTGCAGAATAAAATAAATACATCTAACTTTTCATATACTTATTAAAATTAACATACGGCATTTTAGAATAGCATGCATTAAAGTTGTAATTCATGGACTCTATCTAGATGTACTTACTTTTCAGAGGCTTAAGCCTTTGGATTTTAATACTGAAACTTTTAGCTGACCTTTCTCTGTAAGAAAACATCCTTAACACTGATGTTATTTTTATGCCTCTTGGTGTTACTAATGAGTTGAATAATTTATGAGGTTGTCATGTGAAAAGGATTTGGTGCAGTTTGATGTACTTCTAGCCTCTGGTTTTGGAATGTGATTAATAAAGAGCTGGAGGCAGATTTTTTTCCATAGGGCTTAACTTTCATTGTATTTTTTTATTAGCTTTGTTTTGATAATTTTGTTTGGAACAGTTTGATGGTAAAATGCTCCTAGCTTCCAAAACAAAGCATGATATCACACTACAGAAGGAATTTGAAGCATCTTTTAAAAATCTTACTGCATAGTTTTCCAGTTCCTGACCTCAGATACTTTGTGAGAAACAAACTATTCATCAAGGCAAAAACTATTGGGCTTTTGTTATATTAATAGCAACTTTTCATTTTGACTGAAACCTCGAGCACAAGTAAAGCTATTTTGAGCATCAGTACAATAGTGGAAACATCTTACAAGGTTTTTTCAGCTATGTTGAGTGTCAGTTATCATTTAGGATTTTGTGCATAAATATTGTGGTGGAGGAATGTTTAGTCAAAGCCTAAGTCAGCAAGCTCCTCAGTGTCTACGATCAAAGGCATCAACTTAAATAGGTCTGATCAGGCATTGCAGAAGAGGGCAGGCAGTTTCAGCTGAGCAAAAATCACAGAGTAAAGATGACAAAATTAATCAGTCATTTCTTTGGCAGTAAATAATAAGATATGCTGAGGATTGCAGATGAGAGAATTTCCAGATTCCTTGGAGATGTGCCTGCTTAACACCTGATATATCTAAGCTTGTGCAGCCATCAAGATATGACCTTGATATATAAAAAAGTGCAGTACAGCTACTTGAGTATTAAATCAGGGTGGGTGTTGGATGCATGGATACTGTAATTATATAATACTTGCAGTAATTAAGGATCAGAAGAGTCTTGGAAATGAAAACTGTCTGTGATCTGTGTGTTTGTTTTAGAGAAGTAACAAATGTTAAATTCTACCTTTAAGAATTAAAAAAAATAAAAAAGGTAATTTTAGCTGATAAATTACTTTTTCCTGAAGATAACATTATATATTGTCTACTACTGAGAAACAGTATTTTCTCAAAAAAAATCCGTTACAAGGCAAGTGGGTGAAGCTTCTATTTAACTACAGTCTGTTAGCCAGCCACTGTATGCATGTTCAGGTGTCTGGCTTTGATAAAAAGTGTGCATATATGTATATATACATATACGTTCAAAGGCCCTAGCAAGTACAAAATACTGCTATGAAATTATAATATATTTCTATGGCTATTTACAACTGAGTGAAAAATTACAGTTTCTTCCTGTGGCTACATGTGTAGACATCCTTTGAGACTGTAGGTATGTTGGAGTTATAGCAGCATTTACAAAAGATGGACTGGAGAATTTTCCCTTCGGATTATTCTCCTCCATTTCTACTTTTTTGTTACTAGGCACTGGATTTGTTTGTTATCTGTTAAAACAACTTTCATATTTGGATTTAAAATTCAAGCGTATTATTTCAGCATTGAATTTGCTGTGTACTTTTGGTTTAGTTCATTCTTATTTTACTAGAAATAGAGATTGATTTCTCGCCTTTGTGAAGCTGAAGGAATATTACTTATTGCAGTTATCAAAGTATAAGCTATAATGGGATTTTGAACTACCTGGAAATTTTTTGTAGAGTTTTAATTTTATGCTGTTGACAGACTTTAAACAATTCTTCTTTTAAGTTCAGATGGAGTTTGAGTGTAGTTGATTGACTTAAAAGAAAGGAGGCAAACAGAAAAAAAAGATTGTGTAAACTCTACTTCTCTTCCCCAAATTTTACTACCAATAAATGCATTAAATATGCAGATATGCCCCAATTCACAGTGATTCTACATGTGGTGAAAGAACTGTCTCTTCCAGTTAATCACCTTAACAGTTTACAGTCACTGGAGATTAGTATCAATGGGACACTACTGTACCACCCTGCCAGTGAGACAGAATACTGCTCCACAGAGGTCATCTTAAGAGCAAAACAGTTAATTTATTAAGTTTTGATGCTTCAGTCTTTAAAGATTCTGATCCACAAACCATTTGCATGTGGCGGACGTCCAAGAAAGGCAACATTTTCTAGTCTGAACTGGAGGCAACAGACAAGAGTAACTTAGTGCCCGTCTTCTAAACATGTAAGCTGTAAGCTGGTCAAATATTTCTAGTATAGAAATGGTATTCTAGTATAGAATATTTTGCCTGTTAAGCTGATTATCTGACAGATCCTAAATGCTTAGAATGAAAAAGAAAAAAAAAGTAAAAAGAGAGAAAAAAGGAAAGAAAGAAAAAAAAATAAATTAAAAAATAAAAAAAGCCTTCATAATGTAATATGTATTACATTCAGGCTTTGAAACAAAACTACAGCTGTGTCTTGTATTTGTGGTATGGCAATTACTTTTTTACTTGCATTGTTGAATTTACTCATTCCATTATATATTTGGATATCTAATTAGCAACTTTATTTCAAGAGTGATTCTAGCTGAAGCAGACTGTGTACTGTATGGCTCCTTCAGTTCTAAGTTAGTGTTCTAAGCTTCAGCAAATGCTGTGTGTGCTCATCATCAGAAATATGGTTTTGTTACACACATGGATTTAAAAAGCATCAGGTTTTAAAATCTCAGCTCTTCAAATCTAATTCATGAAAGCAGCTGGATTTTGATAGACTTTCAAAGAATTGCAGACAGGATTCTTTCAGGCTGCTGAAGGACTTACATTCCCAGAACATGTAGCTTCAAGCAACCACTGCTGCCTTAAAAGAAAGTCTGGAGCAGGTTCCCTGCTAGGAAATTGGGAGTCTGAAAACCGTAGGAAACCTTACTGAAACCAGAGACTGTCTTCAGAAGTATTTCCGATGGGCTCCAAAGGAAGATTCCATTTTTGAAGGTGCACAGTGTTAAAGAAAAATGAAGCAAGATGAACTTTCAGTAAGTGTAGCTCTAGAGCAACCCCTCAGTTCTGAGAACTCCAAAGCAGCTGATTCCCACAGGTCCTGAATCCCATCTCCTGCTCTGCTGGGCTCCCTGCATTCTGCAGTCAGTATTAGGACAAAATAGGGGGATAAGGCTCTAGATAAGCTGATTACAAGTTGGTTTCATTTTACATGCACTAAATGTTGTTCCAGAAAGCTAAATCAGTGTTTTACAAACAAGCTTACTGTGTTATTTTCAGATGATAAGACATTTGAAGAAATCAAA